TATATATATATATATATATAGTTGTTATTGCCATCCGAGGCCACGTGGTGGAAAAGTATTTCGTTGTTTTACCAGTCACTGTTGCGCTGACAAGCCAAGACAAATTATAATTAATTCGTTTAGTTTAGTTAGAAATTAATAGTTTTCACACCAATGACGTGAAATTACACCAGATGGTCCAGAGGTTGGGTATCACTGTCGTACAGCACAGGCTAACGCAGACCACTGCAGTTCCACGCCCCTCTGCTTCACCCCACCAACAATCCCATGATTCCTATAATCCCCCTGAATTGCACGCCGTCCAAATCCCGTTTAATTCTTCCCACAGCCATGAGAACGGAACACGACTCATCCATCGATCTGAGCAGCTCTGTGTTGTTTACTGTGGGTTCAACTGACGCCAACTGTGGGATAAGAATATCTTCTCCTCCGCTTTTTATTTGTTGACTCCAACTCTACCTCAACTTGTGTTTTCTCTGCAAAACAACTCGAGTCAAAGACAGTAACAGAAGTTATTAAAAAATAAATAAACCTGACGCATCACAGTCTCTTAATAACCACTGAACTGTTATCAGCTTATGGATCAGCATCCACGTCAAAGTAGGTTTAATGCACGTCATGTGTTCATGTGCGTCAACCTGCTTACTTGCATTTAAGAAAGAACACCAGCAGAGGTCAGCGGTGAGTCGTATCCATTTGGGTGCAAATATAATAACTATTTTGAAATTATTTGTCACTAATTTATATTAAAAATGTAACTATATGAAACTTATATAACGCAAATTTGTGATAATACTCATTTGGACTACGTTGAATACTCGATATTTAAATTTGTTTCAATTCGAAAGACAGATTGGATTTTCTGAAGTCCTTTTATTTTTTTATTTTTATTTTTTTGCTGATTTTTTTTAGCTAATTCCTTTATGCATTTTTCCCAGGAGTAACTTAACATAAACCAAACAAAACAAACTGCTCAGTAAACGCCTCCAGTTTCAAACGAGGGCGGTGAACACAGAAACTACTGATTTCCACTGATGCATTCACGTTTCTCACGTATTTTCTTTGTTAACGTATTTGTATACAATATACGTCACACATTTTTGTAATGTATAGTGGGTTAACACTGAAATAAAAACATAATAACACAACACGTTTTGATTTAAAAAAAATAACCGCAAAAATAAGTATTTTCACAGCTCCAGTCCCATTTCTTTTACACTGAACACTGAGTCTGCCGAGTTTTCCCGGTGGTACGTGAAGGCAGCACTGATCCCAGACCGGTCTGTGGGTGAATAGGAGCAGTGGGGGATTTCAGAGCACTTCCACTCATGCGTGGACACAGTAGTCGAGAGAGTGGACAAAAACAGACGAGCAGCTCCGAGCAGTCACGAAGAATGTGACACAACTTTCTCTCTTCTTCTTCTTTTTTTCAATTTCATCACGATTAACCGGGGCTCGGTTTTGGTCTTTCTCTTCTATACGGTGTTATAGAAGCCATGGAGCCGATAACGAAGTGGACGCCGAAGCAAGTGGTGGACTGGATGAAAGGTAGGCTCAGCTTGGACTGCAGCACTTCTTTCTTTCTTTTTTTTTTAAATCTATCCACTTGTAACACACTTGTATTCAGTGTTAATGATACTGTAAACAGCAGC